ATCGACACTATCAACACGTAATGAAATAAGACCCCACGGTTTGATGATTGATAGGTGTGTGGGCTGTCTTTCATTTTGACACACAGAACAATGGGGGCTATCCACCCTTATCCACAATGTAAAGTAATTCACACAGCCTCTTCCCTCTTCTCTCTGTGAGGAGCAGCAGGTTCAGCTTTCAGAACAAAGTAACAAAAAACTAATATGGCATTCATTTTTTTAAATGTGTAGTAATAGATTTATTTATTTTTCTTCTCAAGAGAGTACCAAAATGTGTATTTTATGTTAGTATTTAAAAGAATCTCCTGGGGGAGAATCCCCCCAGAGCCCCCTGCAGGGGTTGGGTTTTCAGCATGTCAACTCTTTCACCTGTGGGGAAATTGCAGGATTGGCTCCAGGTCGCCCTTTTTATTTACTACAAGACAAATGTGCCTTTTTATTTCATACAGTTCAATTTGGATTGAGACAGGGAAATAATCTAAACCTCACGCGTGGCGTTTCACTGTCGGGGGGGGAGCGTGTATGTAATTACATTGCAAATACTGACTTGAGCCCCAACACTGTATGGGTTAGCCCTACCATAGATTACCCAACAAAAATACTCTGGAGCGCATGCGCAGATCTAAGATCCAGTAGAAATGATAAAAAAGTAAAAGTCTGCTGCTTATTATTCTACTATAGCCAAAATAGAGTCAAAGAGTATATGAGAGTGAGAGTGTGTTAATATATTTGGCAGTTTGGAGTAAGTCTGTAGATTTGTTTGTGTGTGTGTGTTTCATGTATAGGCCTCTCACGATAATTAATTTTGTTGGATACATTTTCCCGGAAATTATTGCGATAAACGATAATATTGTCGGCACCGTTGTATGACCATTTTAGACCACTGACATAATGATAATATATAATAATAATTCAAGTACATCCTTTCAAACTGCTTGTCACATCCTCATGTAAATGGCAATTTATCGAGGTCAGAAAAGTTATCGAGTTCATTTTTATTTATCGTACGATAAGTCAATTAATTGCTTATCGCGACAGGCACACAATAAAACAATGGAAACAAACATGTTTGACTTTCATTAGTGAATGAAACTGTGTGCCCTTTATAGTCTGTGTCCAATATTGTGTATTTGTATATATTGTATATATATCCTATATATATGCTAAGCTCCCGCTGCTGACACGATAGCAGTCATTTCGTGCGCATATGTGTAATTAAACCGAATTAAAACCATGATATCAAAATCTCACTCCAGCCAGGTACCCAAAGTTGGCAACCCTGTATAAGAAGCTTTTTCTCCAACCAGTGAGGTTCTTTATATGATCATTATAGTTATAAAAAAATAAGAGAATAAAGTATAAAATACTATATGACAGTAAAAAAAAGTTATTAATAAACAAGAATACAGTTTGAAAGGGGAGTGATTTGTAAAATATCCATAAAGAAAATCTGCTTACAGTTCTGTTTCATATGGGTGTTGAGAGATGTAGTGCACCAGATTGATGCTTTTAACTTCAACATTTAAAAAAGAATCTTCCCGGGGGAGCATGCTCCCCGGACCCCCCTAGAGGAGGTTAGGTCCCCCCCCCCCCCCTCTTAAATCATGTCCACATGAATAAGAAACTAAATACATTTGCACACATCTTGTGTCCATATCTTTCTGTTTTGGTGGTCATGCCACAACCGTGCACGCGCATGCATGTGCGAGTCATGGTAAGATATCTGGATTAAGAGGTTGCTTTTTCTTTGCACGGCATGAAAGAAAGGCCAAATGGCTGTGATTTTAGTATTTTTAAGCAGAGGTCAATCATTTGTACGGCCCTCGGAGGATGTTGAAAAATTGAAATGGCCCTTGAGAGGAAAAAGGTTCCCCACCCCTGATTTATAGCCTAAACTCATAGGCAATGCTTGTCCTTACATGGGCTTTTGAAATATAAACAGAGTGCAAAATAATACACAAGCAGCAGGCAATCGGTCATTAGATGAAAGCCTCAATATTACCCTGAAAACATGCCTTTAAAAAACTCGAAACGGTCCCAGTTGTGATATATTTTAGTTTAGTGGTGAATAATTTCCCCTGAAAAGTTTCAACAACAATCGAGCTGCAATACTTTATTATATCAACATCTAAATCTAGAGCAGACATTTTAAGGAGAAAATTCAACATGTCAGATGCTCATTTCTGCCTCCAAACAAAGAGCTACATGAAAGTAAATGATGATATAATTAAAACAAATAGGAAACAGTCCAGTAATAAACGTGGCTTCATTTAGCTAATGAGATTAATAGTGCGCTATATAAAATGATAAAAGAAAATGATGCCTGTAATTTTCCCTCCAAGGTTCTTGCAGGAAATCCATAAAGGGAAACAAATGAAAGTCAAAGGAGGAAGAGAGGGTGGGGCTGGGCGGGCATGAAACGGAGGCAAAACATTTACTGTAACAGCCTTGGAGAATAGTTTCAGTATGACTCCCAAATATTTGGCTGTGCTGATATTTCTCTACTCATGTTCACTATGAAAAATATTTTTCTTTAATAGCAGGGTTTCTGCCTTGTCCCTCAAGGCTTTTGTAAGATGTTTAATACCACAAAGAATTAACTTAAAGTGGACCTATCATGCTATATTTGAAACATATATTGTAGGGCCATACCTATACAAAACATGTCTGTGAAGTTTTTTTTTTCAAAATACCAAACAGTTCACCCATTGTAGCCATCCCTCACTGCTCAAACCCCTCTTTTGCAGCCCTGTTAGAGAAACGCGGATCTTGGGTCCTTAGCTTGAAAAAAAAGAAAGAAGAGGAGGCGGAGCTAATGCCTGATCAGAATTCTACCGGAGATAAAGTTAAATTCTGCTGTGATAAAACGCCATCCTGTTTAAACCACGTCAAGGATTATTTCTGAAATAGTATGGAGCTCAAATGCTTTTTCTCTTGTAGGTTTATCACAAGGTGAGTTCTTTTTTTATTTCCTGCTTTTTAAACACATGTGCTCTTCAATACAGGTTAGCTCTGAGTGTTAGCGAGGCTTGCTAATGTAAACAAAGACGTCCAAAACACGTCAGGCATTGTTTCTGATAGCAACTTTATGTGGGTCCGCCACCGCTATTACTTCACAGCGGATGGAATCTGTATCCGCTCGTTGTAAACCCGTTTTTAAAAGATTTGGGTACGGAGGAAAAGAGAGAGGGTTTTATTTTCTGACGCTGCGTGAGTTCCCCGACGCACCGGGGACACATATGTATGTATAAAAGACATCACAAAGTGCATTTTGCATGATAGGTCCCCTTTAAAAAGGAATAGGACAGATTTTTTGTCAGTACATTACCGGCAGTACATGGTGGTTGTTCTGAAAAAAAAATAGATAGAAGGAAGCAAAGAAATGCTGCTTTTGACCGTGGCAGCACATACCAGATATGACTCCTTTGACCAAAAGCAGTAATTATATAAACACAAACAAGCTAACAAGAAAAAAAAGGTAGGAAGTAGTAAACCAGCAAGTTGTTTTCTGTAAAACTGTTTTTGACAAAGGAGTCTGGTGGATTTGGCTGTTTTAACAGTCCTAATGCGGGACACTAAAATGATCTATTATCATATAAATGAAATGCAATACTTTGATAAGACCTGAACCTATACCTAAAACTGGCAGGGAGCCAATTTTTCCTACCCTCTAATGTAAGAACCACTTTTTACAGAGACAAACATACCTTTTGTTACCTTTATTTAATTATTTAAACCTGTTAAGCCCTGGAAACGTTGGGGGCCCCCCCCCCACAGTTTTTTTTCGAGACTGTGTCTCAGGGCTTCTTAACATTTATGAAACTATTAATGTGTAGCACCAGATTAACGGGAAGAATCTCAGCTAACTGAAGATATGAACCATTTTTACCAAAACAAAACACAAGTCTCATAAGAAGCGTCTAAATGACCCCTGAGCGAAAAAATGCAAACTGACTTTGGCACAGAACTCAAGATAAAGATACCCTTATTACTTATCGTAACTGCACATACAATATATCCGATTAAAGCTGAGACTCCACAGATTATATAGGTATAGTATCATCACTGAGCGATCCGAACTCGCGACAGGGGAAGCAAACACAGACATCACAACACGTACCTTTACGGAGCTTTTACGGGAGATCGTCTCACCGTAGCTGTCAATCTGATCAAAAGACGTGTTCAATGGCATTAAAACGAGAATTAACGCGGCTGAATCGGTTAATCCATAGGTTAATAATGTGTCTGTCGCTTTGAAAAAATTATTTATAATCCATAATTCAATTTTTATGTAAAAATCGGAGAAAAAAAGTTAGCTGCTAATGGTAGCCACCAGAGTGTATGCAGCTTCCGGTTTTGGCTATGCGTCACTCTCACTCCTTTTTTGGTAACGTGTTTGTGTGTGTAGAACTTTATAAAGCGGTTATAAAGAGATAGATTTCATTCGTCAAAATCGACCAAGGGGGGCCAGAGATATGGAAAATCCATCCAAATGACCCCAGAAGTGTTTTTTGTTGCTAAACCTCTCTAAAAAGGTCAGAATTCACTTGTTTTGCACCAATCTTGATACAGGGTACTTATATGTTGTACTTTGGATTCCTAAAGCTTTTAATCTACTAACCCATCATCCAAGGGTAGTTTTCACTATAAGTAAAAAAGAATTTTTGGACGGACACTATAATTTACAGTTTTTTACTATGTTCAATCTGAATTTTCTTTAAAATAAAAAACATCTATATTGATTCTGACTTTTCTACATCCAACTCACAGGTTTATCATTACTTTGAGAAAAAAGATTATTAATTTAACCCTTTTAGAAGGGAAGATATGGTCATTTGTTCTGGGAATGTCATTTTCGAGCCTGAGACCTGAAAAACAGGCTCAGGGTGGAACAGGTTAAATGGGAAACAGAGGTGCTTTTTCATGTGATTACATGCATAGGAAATAAATGACTTCAGTGTACATTGAGATATCATCTTCTACATAGACCAGACAGCACAAGTGTTTATTTCATTTAATATACTTTATTTAAAAAGAAATCTGGTATACAGTAAAATGATTTGGCTTTGGTTAAGAAAAGCACATACAGACATTACATGACAAACAATATCATCCCTTACACAATATGCTTTTAAAATAGAGCCACTGATGGAACCATTGGCTGCATCAGCCATTTTGGCACCACTGTCGCCACGTTTTGTGAAGCTTTGAATTCCTGTTTAGCTGGAATTAAAAAGAGAGCTTTGGTTCAATCCTAATATGACCGGAGTAGATCCCTTTTAGTGTGCACTCGATCAAATACACACACAGGCTCATCATTTCATCTTTTACTTCTTCAGCATTTCATTTTTACTTTAGCATACTTTTAAGAGTGTTAATACATATTTACAGCCAACAAATCTTTTGAAAGGGTAGCTATATTTTGCCCATCGGACAATCAGACAAATCCTTTTCAATTGCAAAACAATAACCAAAAATGAAATTTGACACAGTTTTGATAATCTTTTGCTGTTTGAACATGAAATATAAGTCTTGGTATAATACTTGAGTGGAAGTCTTCATGCAGGTTGAAACAACATTAACCTATGGCTGAACTTTTAAGGCATCGATTTTGAAACATATTTTACAACCAAAACATGATGATGTTTAACGTTTCATAGAAAATACAAAAACAGGCTGAAGAAATATGAATCTTTGGAATCTTGTTGTCGTTACTCTCTACAGTGTTTTAGAGTAATGGATTACAAGGCCATACATTTTTTATTTAAATATCAATACAATTGTTACCAAAATCTCTTTTGACCACTACCTATGTACCTGGTGTGCTCTGAAAATCTAATGTAGAATGAGAGTGGGGACTGAAAATATGTTTAGTTGTTATTGCATATTGGCCACAACGTAGAAGATGATGGATAGGATGGTGAAGCCGATACCGATCCCCAGGCCCACATGGTTCAGGATCCGGGCCGTCCTGCTGTTCTGCTCCGCCCCCATCTGGTTCCCAACGTGATTGGCTTCACGGGCCTGAAAGTGAAAAATATACTTTTCAATTAGATACAAGTGAGGTGAACACATGAACATTTGTATATGGTATTATAATATGGTTAGATTGATGCACTGAATCTGTGACAAACATACATTTGCATCACATTATCAAAGCACATAGCATATTGCTAACATTAGCGAGAGCTGTCCCAGACCTTGTAGGGATGAAGCAATGAAACCTAGAATGGTATTAAATAAAATGTTTTTCTTAAGAAGTCAGTATTTAGCTTACTTCTTTTAAAAGACACTTTAAACTTACAATAACAACATTGACATACATTTTAAGTTCATATGACTGAGTATCAATACAGTTAGTAACTTGAAATAGACAGATATGAAGAAACACAAGCTAGCTAGCCAACGTTTCCGCACACATTTATATACAGTTTATTTCCCCTTTTTTGGTCATGTTATGTTTACTTTTTTCATTACACTAGAAACAGGTTATTTAGATTTTTTTGTTTGAACATAGCTCCATACCCTAATAGAAGTCTGTTTAAAAGGAGTGCCATCTATGGATAAAATGTATCCAAGAAGTCATCTCTAACATGCTTCAAACAAAAATTATGACAAATTGATCAAAGAATAATGCTAATTCACGTCCAGATGTAGGCAATACAAGCTAGAAAATGCTTCAGCTCAGGCAACTGGAGCAGCCCATTCAAATATCAATCAATCAAAACTTTATTACAGACTCAGGGTCCAGATAAAAGACAAGACATTACATATAATAAATGACATACACAGCATAAAAAGAAGAATAATTTAAATCAGTGTCCTACAAAGAGACAACTATACCAATGTCTCCACAGCTGTGATTGGTAGCGTGTAGTACTAAACCTTATGTTTGATGAGGCCACGAGGATTTCATTATCAGAGTCATTAAGCCGGCAAATACATTTATACATGAGATTTCTTAAAACAGCTTGTAGAGTATTGACTCCTGCAGCCACAAACATTTCACTTGCACTAGACCATCGAGGTCTCTTCAGCAATATTCTCATGGCATCATTATAAGCTACTTGACGTTTCCGTAAACTTGCTTTTCTGTAGTTTGACCACAAATGTGCAGTATAGAGTGGTGTACAATATGCTCTGAAAAGAGACATCTTCACACCATCTGTACATGCACTAAACTTACGTAAGAGAACGTTTGCTTGTGCATACATCATGCGGCATTGCCTATAAATATCTTCATCATCTGTCATTTGTTCTGTAATAAAGTGTCCAAGATATTTTAACTTATTACAGACACTAAGATTACTATCAGACAATTTAAAATCAGGACATTTTAGACATTTATCCTCTTTGGTTCGAAATATCACGACAGCACTGATGTTGTATTTGATGTCATGTTCCACACCACACACAGAACAAACAGTAAGGAGCTGCTGAAGACCAGCGCTAGATGGACTCAGCACAACAAGATCATCTACATACATAATATGGTTCACTAGAGTACTACCAATCATGCATCCAGTATTACAGGCTTTCAGTCGCTTGGACAGATTATCAATATAAAGATTAAAAAGAACTGAGGACAAAATCCCACCTTGTCTGACACCATTGCTAACCCCAAATGGGGGTGAGACCCTATTGCCCCATTTTACTTGCATAGTCTGGTGGCCATACCAGTAGACTTTGAGAATTCTCACAATGTATTTGGGCACCCCTCTTTGATTCAGTTTATCAAATAACTTCCTATGATTAACACGATCAAAGGCTTTAGAAGCATCAATTAAACACATAAGAACTGATGAGTTATTACCTCTATATTTGTTAACCATTTCCTTTAAGGCGTATATACACAAGTCAGTGCCATGTTTAGCCTTAAAGCCAAACTGGTTATCTGTTGAGTTAATAAAGTCATTTAATCTGTCCAGCAGAATTCTTTCTAGGACTTTTGACAGTATGCTGGCTAACGCTATGGGCCTATAGTTATCTAGGCTACCCACTTTACCGGCTTTGTCCTTAATAACTGGCACTAACAGAACAGACAACATTGAGTCTGGTAACAAGCCATGACTCATAAAGGCAGTATAGCAAATAGAAAGGAGAGGAGCTATCTTCATACTGGCATATTTAAGATGTTCAGCAGAAATATGATCTACACCACTTGCTTTGTTATCAGACAGCTTGTTTATAGCTTGGTACACCTCATGTGACATTATCACCATTGAATCATTGCTATCAATATCATCTACCTTATACAGTTCACTTTGGACACAGTTGAATAAGGTACTATAATGCTGTCGCCATAACTCCGCAATATTGTCTGTTCCGGATGTTCCATCTACAGTGCATGGTGTCATCTCTCGCAAATTATGTTAGTTTAGTTTAGTGTTTTTGTCTTTTGTCTAGTGATTTTCCCCTTTATCTTTTAATAGTAACCTTCCCTCTCGTTTCAGATACTCTGACCTCCTTTCCTTGTGTGTCTCCCACACCTGTGATTGTCGACCCCGCCCCTGATTGTTTCCACCTGTTCCCCATTACCTGGTGTATTTATTGTCCTCGTCTCCCTTTGTCCTGTGCCAGTTCGTTTCGTTTCCTGTGACTAACCACAAGTGTATCATGCCAGGTAAAATCTCAAGCAGAGCTTTGAGCCACGTCTTGTTTTCTGAGATTTGTTTTGTTAGTGTTTTTCCTCATTAAGAGTGACTTTGTTTTGAAACTGTTTTTCCTCGTTAAGAGTCATTTGTTTTTTGACCTCTGTAGAAGAGCTTTGGTTTGAAATAAACCTTTTTTGTTAAAACCTGTGTGAGTCGTGCATTTGAGTTCAAACCCGTTAATTCAGTCGTAACACATGGTAGGGATATTTTGCAGTTATTAATACCCCTCACTTCTTTCCAAAAATCAATAGCATTGTTACTTAGCAGCTTCTTAGACATGGAATCGGCCCTCATAGCTTGCTCATTTTTACAGATGAAGCGAATAGCATACTTGTATCTTGCATTAGTAAGCTTCTTGTACTCAAATACAGACCCTTGTCTGGGTCTGCCTGCCATAGCCCATGATTTAGTGGCTTTACAGGCTTCAGCACGATACTCAGCTACATACTTATTCCAGCCAGGCCTGATGTTATGTGTTTTATTGTTATGTTTGTAGTAAGGCTTACTGCCTTGATACAGAGCACTTACTATATCATTGTACATGGAGCAGATATCACTCCTATGCTTTGCATCCTTAAAATTAACATCACTACACATAATTGCATCTCTAGGTAGATAGAATATTAGTTAAGGATGTATCCGTCTGAGCATAATAGGATGTAATGTCTTCCTTTGTGAGGGTTGACCAGTCTAGTGTTTCTGTTTGAACACTATTTACATTTCTGGTTAGCCCAGGTAGATGTTCAACATTTAATGACATAGCAACAGGTATATGATCAGTCGTTGCTGTCCCATACAGAATGCTCATACACTCAAGTGAAGCATGCGCATCAGCTGTACTAATATAATGGTCAAGCCATGACGTTGTATGCCAAGCCTCACTAATGTAAGTATAGCTATCTGCAGGCAAAAGCACCTTGCTTGACAATATAAAATTGTTATCGTGACAGAACTGAGCCATATGCTTGGCAAATAATGAGTTCCTGTCTGAGATATCTGCATTCATATCCCCAATGACATACACACAAGAAGAAGTATTGCTTTGAATAAAGGAATTAATGAAAGCAAGCCTATTTAGATATTCATCCTCATTCTGATGACATTCATAGGGTGTATACACATTTAGAATAATACATTCCTTGTCATTGTGAGTAAACTGTATTGAAATGCACCAGTTGCCACAAAGCCTAACCACATTTATTTATGAGTCAAGGTTCTTATTCCACAGGATAGCCACACCCCCTGATATCCTTCCTCTGACTTTTCCCATGCCAAAGTCAGTTGTAGACTCCCCAGCCCCATGGAAATTATCATTGAGAGAGAGTTCAGTTTTTCCAAGTCTTGCTTCGCAAAAAATGTCTCATGTCACAGTTCTCCAGAAGGTTGTCAACTACAATGCGGCAAGCTTTATCCCCTGCGCTCTGGCCCATACGAAGGCCACGACAGCTGTACGACAAAACCCGAATAGTCATTTAGCGAGACAAGTGAGTTCCCATATAGCACCAGCAGACACACTCATTCCCCCCGCAGTAGGTGCAGTGTTAGAGCCGATAACTCCTGCTCTGCGAGGCTCATAATATCGCCGGACAAATGCCCCTTCTGACCAGATCTCCGGATTGTGCATTTCGCTGACCTCATTGCATTCAGCAGATACTTTAAATGAACCGTATATATATATAGAAATTGTATTTATTGGGATAAACCCCTTGAGATGCACCATCTCGTTTTCAAGGGGGTCCCGACAATAGCAACATTACATTACATTACATTTAGCTGACGCTTTTATCCAAAGCGACTTACAATAAGTGCATTCGACCAAGAAGATACAAACTTGAAGAAAACAGAATCATATAAGTACATTGATTGATTGATTGAATTGATTGAAAAGTTTATTAACAGCTTGTATATTGGGTACAGTACAGTACAGCTCAAAACATACAATTGTTAAGGGGATGCAGACCAGAGAAAGACTTTCGTCTTGTTTACATCAGGGTCCCCCATTTCCAATTCATCATATCATTTAAGACATATAAGACATATTTGACATACATCAGGTTTCATAGAGCCAAAACATTTCAAGTGCTACTCAACTGGCTTTAGATAAGCCAGTCCTTTATTAGTATATAAGTGCTTTGTTAGAAACAACTTACAGACATACATAAACAAAAAGCAAAACATGACAAACCACGTACAGTCTGTTAAGTAAAATTCAAGTAATACATACAATCATTACAATTTGAGAGACAGTCGAGCAGATCAGTTTAATCAATATCAGTTTCATCAATAACAAGTGCAGACCAGTTGAAAGTGAGATGATAATGCATGTTTAAACATACCCAATGATGCAAGAGATCTAATAGCAGCAGGTAA